ACTATATTCTCATCAATGTACTTCTTGAGTTTAACCAAGTCATTTTGTAATAAATAAGCTAAAGCTCATAAATCTAATAAGACAAAAAATTTATAATATTTAGGTCCTAAATAAATATCTATTATAAAACAAGGAGAAAGTTTTGATGAGAGAATAAAATCTTTACTATGTATTGTATAAGATTCTAACTGCATAGTCCCTATTATAGTTGAATAAACTTATTTCCGACATGTTGTCTTGTTTGACATCCATACTTTTTATTTTGTAGTTTTGTTGCTTCTTTGGATCATATTTGATAGTGTGTTTAAATTCTCTACAATATAAGCATTATTCTTTTGGTTGATAATGAGTCTTTTCTTATTCAATAAGAGATTTAAAACATATCATGTCAATTTTCATATCTTCCACTTCCAAATGTATATATTGAAAGATATTTTTTTTTTATTGAATTATAAAAATATTATAGTCCATTTATGTAATTTTCATATGAAAATTCAAAAAGTTAATTATTACACTTTATAACAAAATCAATTGTTTGACTTAATATTTGAAGATCAAGTAAGTTGAATATCAATTTTTCTATTATTTTATATTGAAATCCATAGAAAAATTAGCTAATAAGTGCAACATCATCCTATTTGACATAAGTCGTAAGTTGTTAAAATTTTGAAGCATATAATATTATTGATTTATTGTTTTATAATAAAATACAAATCTTGTTGGCTGTAATATATACCACATTATATTTTCTATACATGGATTGAAACTTTGCTAAAAAAATATTTAATTTATCCAAAATTAAATCATAATATTTAAAATTAAAATAAAATAATAATAATATAGAACTTATTAGTAATGTTTAAATAAACCTAACTTGTCATCTTAAAGTTGGATAGCTTTGGAATTGAAGTTCAATTACCATTTTTATTTGATTGATGAATTCTCAATACTTTGATCTTATGTTATTATACTTCTCAAATAAGGCAACTTTTGGTTTTTTAATACTCAAATAGTATTCTATTATAAAAGAACTAATAAATCTGATGTAGATATTGAAGCAATTCCAATCATTTCTATATCTTTATTCCTTGTCAAACTTATTACTCATTGTAATGATAAATTGAGTTAATGGATAAAAAGTATTAACTCCTTGATTTGTTCTTGTATTTATATTATTATATATATTTTTTATTTTAATGAAATTTATCACGATAAAAATAGAAATAAAAATAACTAATATTGATCAAGATAAATAGAAGAAAGGACATAAGAACAAAGAAAATACTAGGAAAAATATCAATTTAGAAAAAGATAATCTACAACTTTCAGTATGCTTATGTCTTATGAAGAAAAAGAATTAATCTACTCTTAATCAAAAAAAGACAAATTTCTAATATTTTAAGTATACTCTTATTAATTTATTAAAGATAATAATTTAATGAAGAAAAATAAACAAGTGAGATTTTTTTCAAAAAAAGATGACAAAATAAAAATTAGAATGTATATTAAAAAAAACCTAGAATAGCTATTATCAAAGACAAGAAAATTAGAGACCCTTCAAACTAGATTAAAAGCATAAAAGAGATTAACAAGAGTGAAGAAGGCTTCACTCTTGCCTCTATATATACTATCTAATTAGATGTTATATGGTAACATTCTATAGGATCTTTGATACATGTCTTAACTTGTAAGGCAAGTTTCTTATATATATACCATATGGTTAGCTTGTACCATAAGCTATTAACATAAGCAATATGTGGCTAATTAGTTAGCCAAGTATTCAACCTACCAAACACCTATACATATGTATAAAGATGAAACTGCATCTATGAAGCTTCTCTATAAGATAATATCAAATTAATCTATTTTTATATACTTCTACTTATTTGTGTTACCTAGATAATTATAACAATAAATATGTATGTTTATAACATTTCGTCTCAACCATCTTTATACTTCTACTTCTTTGAAACTTCTTTACTTTGCCTCAAAATAGTCTTTGATAGATTTTTTCAATCTATCTATATGGAATAAATTCCTAGTCTATATCCTTTTTAGATTCCTTGTATCTTTTTTACATTTCTTGACATCAATCTATAAATATGTGGAATTTATAATGCTATTGATTACACACTTGTTTAACTCTCAATCTCTATTTTTTTTGTAATAGGATTTTGCTATCTTTTGTAGGATAAAGACAACAAGTATACAATAATACAAAAACTTTGATAACAAGAGAAAGACAAAAAGCTACTATTGCTAAATCTTCTTATTTTTCTTGTTTATTTAAAGCTATTATTTACACTTTCAATTTTTCTTCAAATAATATTAAATTTAGCAACCATGTATACACAAAAGTAACTACAACACTTATTATACAAAGAAGCAACATACTAAAAATTCACAATTTAAATGACAAAACTTTTATCACTCTCAACTTTCTTATTGGAGTCGTAATGTTTTCAATCAACTCTAATGGCATGACTATTGTGTGTATTTTTACTATTTTATCTTTGATTATTTACTTTTTTCAGATTTTTTCATGTAAATTAAAATTGACTATTATAAGTTATAAGTTTTTCAAATCATACTTACATGATTAGAATAATTTTTTTCAGATTTATCATTTAGCATTACTATGTAGTCTATGTCTACAACCTTACATTATTCATGCATTATTATTCATGCATTACAATATCCATTTCAACAACCTTTTTGAGTTAGCTTAATTTTTAATCTAAATATAGTATTTTTCATTATATACATATA